TACAATTGACAAATCATCATTTAACAATACATGTGGACATGATAGGAATGATAGAACTCAAGACTGGCAGGGAGAATTAATGATGGAAAGTCTTTATCTAATTATGAAATCAGAATCTAAATTCATAAAATAATAAAGATGAAGGGAAATCTTTATCAGAATATGAGCAAGAATCTTAAACTCATATACATAATAAAGCTAAGGAGAATCTCCAATAATAAATATTGAATTGCTTTCTGCATAACAATTACAAATAAAGAGCCTCAATATTTATAGAAGCAAAATAACTACCAATCCCTAGAATTTAGGCCCACTACCACATTACCTAGTAACTATTCCTAGACTTTAGACTCACTACCACATTACTTAGCAACTACGAATCACTACACATTATTTACCACTTAGTAACTAACATATATAAAATAAAACATCTGACCTGGCCTTATTATAAATATTAATAACATAAAATAACAGCTTAGGTGGCACTCTATCATAGTCTCTAATAAAATGGTTGTGAACTTCAATATGTCTGCTCCTCGCATGAAACACAAGATTTTAATGTGATATCATTTTGTAATTCCTAGAGTAAATGTTTGAACTATATCACTTCATAAGAAGGTGTATTTATTATTAGAAACCAAAAAGGAGAACGTCTTACAGTGGAAGGTCGATTGCATCTGAAAAATCTCAACGCTCTAGAAGCTTATCTTCCAGCCCTGACCGAGTTCGTGCCAGGGGCAGGTCTCCTGCCTTTAATGCCTTAGCTGCTAACTTTGAGAACCCTAATACAAGGAACCTCTCAACGCCTCCACCAATGGTACGGAAGATTTTTCCAAAGTCTGGAACTCCCGATTCAACGAAACTGCCTTCCAGATCTGCAGCCATCGCAGCGTTGACAGCAACCTTTGACAAGACCCCATCGCCAGCCCGCTCCTCCATTCCATCCTTCACTAAGGGTATCATTTCTTGCTTAACAAATTCATCATTTTAAGAAAGAAAAAAGAAGTGAAATGTTACTTCCTTGCAGGTCGAGCAAGCCCGGAGGAAACCCCAAAGCCTGAAACAATACAAGAAGATGTGAAAGAGGGTGACGCTGAAGATGATGATGGGCTTCCGACATACCCTTATGACCGACTCAAGACCTCCTCAACTAATCCAATCACAGATGAAATTGACATAACCAAGAGGGAGGTATGCTATTAATTGATACAGAGTAATACAGCAGGAGAACTTCAAAAGGTGTTTGATGTTTTCAGGTTTTCAATCAGAACTGATATTTGAACAAAACAATTTGCTTGCAGGCTTATCTGTCTTCCCAAGAGTTCAGGGAGAAATTTGGGATGACTAAGGATGCCTTTTATAAGCTACCAAAGTGGAAACAGAACAAACTAAAAATGACTACTCAATTGTTCTGAGAGCCTTCTGCTGACACCATTTTTGTAGCTCGGAGGGAAAGGATTCTTTCTTATATGGTGGGAAAGATTTAGAGGATCCACTATGGCATGTTTGGATTTGTTTGCAAATTTTAAATTGAGGTAAATTCATTTGTTGGAAAGTGTAAAGAGTTCACATTTTGGAACCGGACCAAATTCTCAACAATTCAAAGTAAAAAATCTCATTTGTTGATTTCATTTAGGCGTTTAGACGATTGATTATAGTCAAGGTTTGTAACTTAAAGCATTGCTTACCATCGTGATTTGTAGTTTTGATATTTGTAATATGTTGTTTGGAGTGTTACGGTGTGTTGTTTGGAGTGTTACAGTGTGTTGTTTGTAGTAGTGTCATGATCATGATTTGTGCAATTGAAGGTACTCTGTATGTGGTTTGGATGTTGATGATTTGCAATCAACAATTAAAAAAGCTACTTGGAGTTCCGGACAACCTTTATTAATCTTATGTACCACATACAATTGGGGGCCGGTTGTGACATTGGCTCTCTGTGTCATAGGATAACTCAGGACACCTACTGGTTTGAAAAATTGATGATTCCTACCTCCTGCATCACGTACTCCCTTCGCTAATTGGCTGCAGTGATACAGTGATATCACTGTGGCTAAAACTGTAGCAATCAGCGAAGGGAGGGGAGGTTAGGGGATCTAGGGAGGAACTATCAATTTTCTAACTCATCAACGTAGATGTCTTGGAGTCATCTTATGACATTAACACTAATGTCACATGGGTGGGAAATGGGTGTGGAGGGACCGTGGATCGTTGATTGGGGAGAAGAGAGGAGACATGGTTGTTGTGGTAATTTTCACTTGAAATTATTTGCTCTTTGGTATGACTCAAGCTATTTAATTTTAAGATTTTGATATAAAAACATAAAATCATGACTTGTATGATGGAGGATTGGATTTCACATCTAGGCCCAAGTACATTGAGTCATGCCCACACAAATGGAATAAGATCTTCTGGAGTTGGATGGGTGCGATGGTGGGCTTTGAGGACATCGCTGTGACGTGGCTTTGGCGAATGACCTTCATGGTATGAGGTCGGTACTCCTCTAGTCGTCTAAATGACTAGGCTTGGGGCTAACCAATGCATGCATTCCGCTTGTGAAGGGTGCACATAGAGACGCTTTAGTCACCTAGGGAATTGGACATGCACTAAACCACAAGGAAGAAAGAGTAATGTTTAGCATTTGTCAAAGAAATCGACAAAAGAGATGTCATTCATGGGTGTCACTCGTTATAGTAAATTTCTTTTTTCACTATCATTCCCCCTCCTCTCCCTCATTCCGAGGGATGTTGAATCTTGAATTCGAAGCAAAGTCTGAAGTCAAGTTAAAAGAGTATGTTGTGCTTTGTGTTATATCGCTCTCTTGTTCTTACTATCATCGTCTCTCTTTATCAACAACCTCTATTAGTTGATACTTAGTAGTCTATTGACAATCGAATTGATGCTTTCATTAACTTGAAAGTATACTCAAGGTCAGCGAAAACACTCTCACAAGGGAGACTAGCTACATTGGTGGAAAATGATGGACAATATCAACCCACCACTCTATGGCATGCACTCTACGGGAAATGCAACACTGAGATGCTCACATCGCCCATCAAGGTACTCAATCATACACACAACGACGAAGAAGAAAAAGTGATGCTCAGCATAACAGCATTTGTCAGAGAAATTGAGACAAGAGGAATGTGACACACACAACACTATAAAGGGATGTCAATCACGGGTCTTGCCCGTCCGTTACTACAGTAGAGTCTTGTTTTCACTATAAATACTACCTAACCGGCTAACCCCCTCGTTGTAAGAGAGGGAATAAGCGGAGAATTCTGGTGGGCCGAAAACAACGGATAGAGTGTCGGGTAAAATTAATCACTTGGATATAAAGTCGGGATCCACAATTCTAACCCAAAAGCTTAAACTAATAGGTAGGGCTTCACCCTTCAATATATGCAAGTGATACTCATCTTTATTTTCCAATGTGGGAACTCCAACAGTTACCATCTCATTATCTATCTTTATAGACCTCAACTAGGTCATACTTTGTAGTTTAATGAACATCAAATTGGTAATTTAAATAAGAGAAGTACTAAAGGTTGCCTTTTGTTTGACACTATGGTTACCACAAGAAGCGAGAACCATAACGATAGCGCTCCGAAGGTGGAGACTAACCAAGCTCGTGGATAACGTCAACCCACCTCAAGCAAGCAAATTGACTGAGGACCTCACAAGATGAGATAATTAGGTTAGGGGTGGCACTCGATCAATTTTTAACGGTCGATGTTACATACCGTTGTTGCTCTTGCAGGAGGAGGAGCACATGGAAACACTCTTACGCCTAACCAATCACAGAATCATAACAAACTATCATCAAATCATCGTGATTGATGAGGTCCTACCCAAAGGGGCAACAAGAATAAAGCCGGCCTCCAAGGCTCCCATAGATGACAACCAAATAGAGGTGGACACGATAAACTTGGAGGGAGAATCAAGCTATAGTTGAGTTAATTGGCAATTAGCAATCCATGACTTAATTTTCCAAGAATTAGATAAGTTAATGCAGCTACCAAAGGCCATGGATCAATTGCCTCATACTTGGGTTAGCTCCTAAGATTGTCTTCTTCATCTTATTAAAGGCTAAGAGGTCTGATATACTTTGACTTTTCCAACTTATAAATAGTCCTCACCTTATAAGCATCCATATTACTTCATGCTTGGCATGCAGTCTTTCTACTACTATCAATTTTTTTGACATAGCTACTGCCATCATGAGGAAACTCTGAAGTATATCGGGAAAATCATTAGAATGTTTTTTCATCTTCTTAGCTTAAAACCCCTTCTTAGACTAAAAGGTGAGTATCATTGCCTCTATAACGTTGTAATCGTTTGTATAATAAGATGTATGTATGAAATATTTGTTTATGTGCATGTTTATACATAAGTATGAATGTGTGTATGTTTATCTAAGGAGAGAAAATGGGTTTTCTAGCCACGTGTGAATAAACCGTAAATCTTACATTAGAAAGGTTGAAAAATGATCAACAAACATTTTCTTAAAGCTCCACTAGTTAGATAATGTTAATATACTGTTTTCATGTGGAAAATGGAGAATTTAAGTAGTACCAAAACGGTTTACTGCGGTAAACAAATTCATGATGAACTCACGGTTGTACACTACATTGTTTAATTGAGTAAATCACCCCAAAACTGATATTTAGCTTTCAAGTCCATTTTGGATTAATTCTGTGAACTATATACGATGCATGAGGGATAATTTATGGATTTTAAATCTTGAAAGTAAACTGCTATATTTTATGATTACATGACTAACTTTTTTCTATATGAAGGAAAAGTAAATTTATCTTAATACTAGAGTTTGACATCAAAAATTGACTCCAAATATGCATAGAAAATGATTCTATGTGAAACTCATATAATGGTTGTATGTAAATCTCTATGAAATGCATTGAATAAGAATTAGTGTTTTCAAAAGTTATCAAATTTTGTTTTCATTATATATTAAGAATATCTCTGTTATCCAATAACAAGGGCGAAGATCTTTCTTTTTCGATTATTCATATATCTTATTGAATTATTTTTTTGTGCACTAGTTTTAATTTCAAAATATTAATCACACTGTATTAAAAACAATAAGAGCATGTTTGTTTGATAAACACTTCTTTACACATTGATTAGGTACAAACACATTTTAATAAATTACAAATAAATACACAGTTAGAATATTTAACTTATGAGTTGTTCAAACCATTGTTGTGAAGTAAAAAAAAATCAACTTCATGAGGTCTCAGTTATGTGGTTTGACTTGTTCACCCTGAAGGAAGCACCCACAAAAAAAAAGAACAAAAAAGATCATATGTTAGCATCTTCTACACAGACCCTTTTAGTTTTTAAAAAAGGGGGGAAATGAAAAGCCTACAATTATATTCCTTCAAGTAAGCAAAATCATAGATGATAAAACATACCCCTCGCGTGTCTTTCCACATCGGAAAATATTGCGTACGATTTCACTCAATGGTGTCTCTGGAACTGGTATAAGCTTCCCTAACACGGCGAGAGGCCAGCTGTTTATTTTTCATACCAACAAACAAGAAATTGGTTATATACCAAAAGAGAAGTTCTATGTTTTTATTTCCGAAATAAAAGTTAAAATGCATATACAGTGACAATCATGAACATATACATTACCAAAAAGTATTGTAAAATATCCATATACAGTGCCACATTATCAAAGTGCAAACTCCTATTTTGAGGATAAAAACATGGAGCTCCAATTTTGGTACTTTATTTATGTTTTGCTCCTATTTAGGGTGATTTCTTTACTACTATCAAATCTAGCAAAATTATGGAAATAAATAGTTCAGAGATGGATCTTTTTCACACAGATTTCTGAAAAAGGTGAAAGGTTATGTAACCAACTAAGCAGCAAAAAAATGTAAATCGCAAAACACACTTACTCTAAAACCTAAATCACACTTATTCGGGAGTGTGATGGGTCAAGTTCGAGTTTGAGATGAGTCCCAACGTTGGCCCCAAAAGACAGAATTCGGCAATATTCTTGAAGGCCCAAAACTTCTATTCAAATTATTTAAATCATTTNGAATAAATTTTGAGCAAACAACTATAAAATGATAGACCATAATCTTCTAAATCCATAATTGCATGCACATCATTACGTAGTCTAATTAATATACGGAGTATATAATAAAAAAATACAAATATGGCAAACCATCGAATTAAATAGTTTTTGCCAACTGCCTACCCCCTCTACATCCCATAAAAGGTTCTGAAATCAACCAGACATGGTTATTAAGAAATTGAGATTGTCTTTGAGATTTATTCAAGGAAAAATAAAAATAATACGGAGTATGAACCACAATTTTTTCCTTTAAAGGAAAGAGGAATTTTATTTTTGTAATGGCCAAAGGAGAGTATGAGCTTTTTTCCTAATTTTCTTGTGTTTCATTAATCTCTGGGTTTGGGGTAAACCCAACGTTAACTTTCCGAATCATGGTTTTTATATATTGTTTTTAAAGAATTATAATCTCATATACTCCGTATATTCTATGGCTGGGTTAAACCTGATTTACTTGAATCTGACCCTGCCTTTTATAGATGTTAGGCCTAGTATGACACCTAGCACTTTTTTACATCATTGCACTGAACCTAAACAAAAGTACAAAACACTCACAAAGTCACAAGAAACCAACCTGATAAAGCCAATAGCAACAGACACAAGCCATAGTTTCCAATTAAGTCTAACAGTTGAAGTGAACTTCCCAAGAAATGTGATCATAAGAACCTGAGAAAGATAGGAGGTATTGTAGAATATTTGTACCAATTAATCAGTGGGAGGGATGTCTATAAAACTTTTAAAAGGTGAAACCAAATAGGAAAATCACCTGAAACACCACAGTAAGAGTGACTATAGCCACAAATAATCGGTTTGTATGGACTCCTTTGAAAATATTAATTTCCTCCGGTTTTCGGGCATTAAATTCATTGAACACCTGCAAAAGGATCATGCAAAATAAGTGGGTGCGACCATGCAATACAACAACTCTTTATCCCAATTCAATGTGGCCAATTGATCATGCAATGATGAATCCAATTCAGAAATGGGTTCTTGGAAATGCTGATCAACACAGGCATGCATAAGGCACAAACAGGTTTGGAGCTCGGACTCTCTGAAATTTGAACTTTGGGGAGGGTTGGGATGATATTGTGTTCATATAATTTTTTTTTGAAAAAATATTTACATTTATATCAAATTTAGGGTGAGCTGGGGTGCGGAGATGCCAACCTATGCCGCTAGTGTTATACAAAGGACTAACCTGGCAAAATACAAATGAGTTGAAAATCAAAGTATTCCTCAGTTTAATAGCATCCCCACTTCTGTAATGCTCCAAACTCAGAATTCTTTTACCTCCAAAATTGAGAGCTAGAAGAATAGTCACTTGATAAATAGCCTGCAGTTGTCAGAATTCTTTTACCACCAAGATAATAGCTCTCATGTAGAAGAAAACAATTAACAATTGAAGGTGCAAACTAAGATTTAAGTTTCAGATGTAAGTGCCTGTATTATTAGGTTTCTCCACATGATATTTGTTATAAGTGGTTCCCTGAAATGACATGAAGAAATAGTTTGATTCTTCATATCCTGAATCGCCAAAACAACTAACTCAACAAACTAACTGCAACACAACTAAAAGCTAAGTGATTCAAGCACTCATGTAAGCACAATCACATAGAAGACTTTTTGTAGACTTTTTATGAGGAAAGAGATGAAAAGTTCTTGAGTAAAGAGTAATGCACTTGCCAAGAACTTCAATCCCTTAATACACTAACCATGAGTTCAAATCTTAAACATCATGTGCCAAAAACTCCAAATATGATGAGCGTATTGCAGATTTAAAAAATTAATGCATATATAATCAACAAGTCAGATTGAGCATGAATCTAATAGCCAGTAAATTGGCATTAAAAAATAACGAATAAAAGGATTACCTTCGTCCAACTGGAGGTCTATACATCAGCTGATCGGTAGGTGGTTCTGTGGCAAGAGCAAGGGCCCCTAAAGTGTCCATGATGAGATTTACCCAAAGAAGCTGCATAGAGACATGAAGATAAATTAATAAATACACCCAGAACAAAAAATCCAGTGTATTCCCACAAGTAGGGTCTTGGGAGGGTGGGATGTTCTCTACCCATGAAGGATATACAAATTAATAAGTGGATGTGTAGGGATTGACATGACACCTTAAGGTGAGAAAACACCTTATGGTGAGATTACACAAAACTCACCAACCATAATTACAATGCTCGTCACCCCATAATATAATGCTCACCACCAAAACATTAGGTAATGCTTACCTTTTAAAAATTAAAAAAAAAATAAACAAAAACAACCTCAAGCCCAAACATAAAAAAATCAGGCCTAAAGATTAACAAAAATTAAAAGTAGAGTTGTGCAGCAGCAGCTGACCACCTCCCCCTCCAGATGTCATATAATCAAAAAATGAAGTGAAAGAATACCTGGACAGCATTCAATGGGACATCACCACCAGAAATAGCAGCTACCACATTTATTACAAGGGCTGCAACATTTACAGTAAGTTGGAACTGTATAAACTTCTGGATATTAGCATACACAGATCTACCCCATCGAACAACCTATGTTTCATGAAGAAAAGAACCATAAGCAGTCAATATCTTATTCATGGAAAAGTCTCATTTCTGCTGATCATTGATGACATTAAGTTTTAGGTCAGCAAAGCAGAAGACACTTGAAACTAACAAACTAACTTATCTAAAGGAACCCTGGCTTTATTTAGCCTTCTACAAATGATATATGGAGTGATGCATTACATGGGTAAATGTTTCCACCTTCTCAGTATATTACTGAATATAACTTCAAATACCTTTTAGAACTTGAAAAAAAACAACAAACCAATGCAACCATGGTATTCTAGAGTTCTAGATTTAGTTCTAAAAAGTTTAAAAACCCCATACATCATATGCTCAAGTCCTCAATAGAAAGATTCAGGTTTCATGGTTTCCAGTTGAAGATCTATGAGCTGATTTAGGAATGTATAAACAACCTTCACAACTGAAGCAAAGTTGTCATCCAATATGATGATATCAGAGCTCTCTTTGGCAACCTCAGTTCCTTGGATACCCATTGCAAGACCAATATCAGCCTACGGAAAGAAGAAAAAGTGCAACTAAGTTAGTGACATGTTACTTGAAGAAGGAATTCTTAAATCTCGAGTGGAAGAAACATTAAGGAAATGTGAAGAATGCTGGAAAAAAGCCATGAACATGTTCCTTCATCTATTTCTTTACATTTTAAGGATTGTAGAGAAAAAATTTATACACATTTGTTATATATATTCCGCAATCCCCACACATGAGTCTAACTCCTATATATACTGTATCATTTAGGCAAAAAAGGGACTTCTGATGGTAAGGGTAGAGAGTAAAGGATATGATACACATGTTTTGAAACACACCTCATGTAGAGCAGGAGCATCATTAGTTCCATCTCCCGTTACAGCTACGATGTGTCCCTTCTTCCTCAATGCTTGTACAAGGAGGAGTTTGTCATTAGGAGAAGACCTTGCCATGACCTGATATACATCAACTAAATAAGGTCATGCCCCATATAAAGATAATTTTAACAATCATGCTTCACAACCTACCGATATATCATCTGCAGTCTTTTCCTGATCAAGCACAGATAAACGTCGGAATCTTTCTCCTTCAATCACCAGCTCTCGTTCACTAGCACGATCTGAATCAAGTATCCCACATTCTGTAGCTATAGCCCTTGCAGTTTTAAGATTATCGCCAGTCACCATTCTTACCTATTACGGAGTATATTATTAGAAGCACTTTTTAAACTATAACTGTTTTAAGAGTTGAAGATATCAGCACACAATAATATTGAATAAAAGAGCACTTGAGCAGAGGATTGAAGAGAGTGATATGGCTAATCGATTATAAAAGGGATTTTGTGTTGGCACTTCTTGTTTTAAGCAATGTTCGAAAAGGCGTATTGCGGTTTTGAGGCGTTTTCATTTCATGGCGTATTGCGTAAGCCTTGAGGCGTTTTGAGGCGTAAGCCTCAATTTTTAAATTGAAAAATATTCACAAAACAATTTAATACCAAAGATAGAACATAATGTATAACATAAATAATCCAATAACATGAAAAAAGTATATCAAACATAACAAAGTCTAACATGGAATCAGACATAATATTGCTCCAAGTGATGAGCTTAATTTGAAGAATTGAATGTTAGTCTACTTCACAAAAAGATAACAAAAAAAAATAAAAAGAAAAAACAGCACCTTGACAATTATAAAAAGATAAAAAGGCATGGACAGCTGTAAAAAGCAGAAAAAGCACCACCCACCACCCATCATCATCCATTATCCATCAACGCAAGTGGAAAGAAAAAGAAGACGCAGAGATTACCTTCGCTGGAGAAAGAAGATTGAAGACGCTGTACTGCTGGAGACGGTTCGTAGGTCGCAGAAAGGTAATCGACAAAGGCAATTAGGGTAATCGACACTCGACAAAGGTAATTTTAACATATATAGACTTAATTGGGTTAATTAATTGGAGTAATTGACAACTTTAACCTTTAATATCCAAAATTTTAATCGTTTAATTTCCTAAATTATAATCATTGAATTGCCTAAGCCTCAATGCGCGCACCGGCGCGTACGCCCCATGGCGTACGCCTTTCAGAGAATTGCGTAAAAAAGCCTATAGCGTGAAATCGGGATTAGCACCAGTGCGTAATTTCCAAAAAAAGCTTCGAGGCGCGCGTAGAGGCGGGTTTGCGTTCCGCCTTTTCGAACATTGGTTTTAAGTACTTCTAAGCACCGTATTATAAAATGGATTTCGTGTTGGTACTTGCTATTAAAAAAATTCCAAGAAAGAATGAAGATGAAATTAAGGAGAATGAAAACTTACCAATCCAGAGATGGAAAACTTTTTAAAAATTCATTCACCCCTTCCACAACCCTTATGATTCATTCTTGTGATGCAAAGAATCCCCCATACGTAACAAATTACCCTAAACCAAAGGCAAATGTACCATACCCCCCTCTCCTAGTGATATGGAAAAATGCACCAAAATGCATGTGTTTTTTAAGGCAAAAAATGCATGTGCTTCGTGGAAGGTAAATGAGCCTAATTTAATTAATTTGTTCTTAAGACTAGTGACCACCTCCATTGCTGGCGGTCAGAAAACCAAAATTTGACAATCTAATACGATGACTATGTATTCACTCCTTCAATCAATTTGTTTCTGCTCAAATCCACTAAGAGTCCATATTTTTTATACAAACAACAACAGCATTACCCATGTGCCTCAACGACTCCCGCCCATTGCGGGGTAAGGGGAGGTCGGAGGTACGCAGTCTGACCCCTATGCTTAAAACATAGAGCGGCTGTTTCCAAATGACCTTTGATGAGTGTTGAAAGTTGCATTGAGTAACTGCTACTTCACAATTTTAAGAAGTGCAAACAGTTTAAAGAGCCAATTTGCTTTATTCCTTCATACCCCAAAGCCAAATTGCTTTAGTCCATATTTTTTTATAACAGAAATATTTGTGACAAACTAATAACACCTTAGTCATTTATTTCTGAGTAACTTTTTCATCTTAATTTTTCGCCACTAATATTTTTCAAACGCACATTCAGATGTAAAAATAATCTTGGGCAGAATTTTTTTGCAGTTTTTTTTTAAATTGCAAATTTTGGAAACACATAGACGACTAGAAACCCATGATGACTAGATAAAATAATTTTGATTGTGGATTTATAAATGGATTTTTAGATCAATTTTTTTCTGATTCAAAACCAAATGAATGACAACCACTGGATTAAGAAGACACACACACGTGGATATACATACATACATACATGGATGCTATTCGACAAAAATATCACATTCTATATGCATATTACATGATAATATATTTCATGTTACAAATTAAAGATATTTTAAAATCTTAAACACTAATATTCCTTTCACCTCTATCAATTTTGTCATAAATTTTATTAGATTTATTCTATCAAATATATTCAAAATATTATTTTATCTAATTAATATACAATATATATTTTATTTAATTATAGGCCAAAGATTGAAAACAGTTGACTCAAAAAAATCAAGACTAGACAAATACTCAGGGATACTCAGGGACGGAGGTAGTACTTCTTTGGATAAAAAAAATCTTAAGGTTTGACTTTTACGGAGTTTAGGAAAGTTGTTTAAAAAGTAAAAAAAATATTGTTAGAATTTTTTAAAAATGAGAGAAACATTATGAGATACATATTCAATATCAAAATAGGATATAAAGTGTATACTTTTTTTAGACGTCCAAAAAAGGAAAGTGTAAAGTGTTTTATGGGACAGAGAAAGTATTATTTTATCATGGTCAATCCTTGAGACCTCAAACACACTTCCACTCCCGATGAGCATACACATTCAATGCCTACAGATTTTGTGATATTCTAATATTTTTATTCAGAGCATTGAGTTACACTATTTTCCCCTTCCATTTTTTCAACCGAAAACTCTCCCTCATTGAGGAATGGTAGGGACTGCGTCAACCAAGAACATGGCAACCGAGTAATCACAACCGGTAGCAGTGCATGCCACGATGGCTATTTTTCTATGGTCCTCGTCTAGAGGCGAATGATCCCTTATTTAGCAGGCGAATAAAAAATTGGTGTTCATTAAAAAAGAATGGTGTTCCTCCATTTGTATTCGTTTAAATTCGGTGAAGGTTAAAAAAAGAATGAAATTCCTTTGCTCGATTGATATTCGGCGGATCCGAAGAGATTGGCATCTTCGCCGGAAAAAAATGTTCGTTGAAGTGTCCATATGATAGTTGGACAACAATTGTATGACTACATAATGCGCAAGTTGGGCATTGCAATTCAATCTTCATGCTCCAACTTGAGGGGGGTGTTACAAGATTAACGGAGTTAAAGCACCTGCTTGACATTATTTAAGGACTTATTAAAGTGATTCCTTCCTTCCTTATACTTTGTGTTTTTGGTAGCAAATACAGAGTAGAATTGTGGTAAGTTTAGATCTCTATTATATTTACGTTTGATCTCCCTATTTAAGAATCAGAAAGTTCCTTGTAATCGGTACAACGTAATATAAACTTAGAGCATGTTCTTTAGGACTGGAAAGCAAGAGCTGGACGTTGGAAGAAACTGAAAGGAATTAGAAGAAACTGGATTGGAAGGAACTAGAAAAACTTAGAAAAAATTAGAAAATCTAAAAAAACTTTAAAAAAATTTTTTGTGTATTTTTATATTATTCTCATTCTGATTCTTGTTGTTATAAATTATTAATGTTGTTGTTGTTATTATTATTTTTATTATTATTGTTGTTGTTGTTGTTGTTGTCATCACGTTATCTTAATAAATGCTTTAAAGATAAAAAAATATTGTTATTTTTCAATTTTCATACACAAAAAAACTACTTTTGTAAAAAAAAAATAGAATATAAAATTAGCATAAATATCAAAATTTTAAATATTTAAAAGTTATTGTGGCTACGGTGCACATCACTTTATTTATGCAATATTTATCATAAAATAATATATTTGCAATTAGAACTTACATATTACAAGGTTTTGTTTCAAATATCAGACATGTAACATAATGTAATCAAACATATTTTTTCTTTAATTTTTTCATTATAACCCTACATTTGGAATAAAGACTTTTTTTACATTTTTTTATTTTACTTCTACGAAGGCAGCGAACAATAGAAGATAGGCCCAAGGTGATGGTGTTTGATGAACAAACTAAAGATGCAATGAAGCAGTTTAGAGATGAAATAGCAGTTATTATTCTACAATGCAATTAAGTTTCATTAAAGATACTAAATACGTAGTTTTTACAATACGATTATGTTGAAAATGATTGGATTATTTACATTCATATGCACAATATTTTACATATTAGAGACAATAAAAAGTAGATCAAATAAATGAAATTATGACTTTTTTGTTACTTGTATTTTAATTATTGGTGATATTATTTGTTATCTGAATTTGTTTTTTAGACTTTTTGGGTCTTTTTTTTCTTTTTCAAGATGTAGTTCTCTTTTGGTTTTCATAATGTAGTACTCCCCACCCTATTCCACTATTATATTTTAGATTAAAATATTGATGTTTCCCTTATTTAATTTTAGATTAAAAAAACATTTTATGAAACTATTTTATCCATAATTTTTTGAAATAGTTTAATATATTAATTTTCCTATTTTATCTTGTAGATTGATATACAAAAATGGTATTATTCATATTAAAAAGTTGAATAAAAAATAATCAATATGAATTATAAAAATAGTGAGATGAAAAAATGAAATAATTTATAAACTATAGTTATGAACATTATAGGTGTAATAATAATAATAATAATAATAATAACATATCATTTTTAGAATAATTGGTCGGGAAGTAGAAAGAGTTTGAAGAAAATAAAAATAGTTGGAAGAAATTGGAAGGAGCTGAAAAAACTAGGAAAGAAAAAATAGTTTAACCCTAAGTTTCATAAAGGATATGGAAAAAGAGTAAAATGATAAAGATGCTCTTATACATATAATAGTCTAACCCTAAGTTTCATAAAGGATATTTTACTACATGGTGCATTAGAAGAAGATCAGTATAGTGGTTGGGAACTTTCTATTTCAATACATGTACACTATGTTTGGTTCAAGGAATTTGAGAGGGAAAGAAAAAGAAAGTGAGAAGAAAAACATTTTTTTGCTTGGTTAGAGGGGAAAGAAAAGAAAAGTGGAAGGAAAAGAAAATGAGAAGGCAAAAAGTACTAAGGGGAGGAAAAACCGAATTCCTCCCATTTTGGTGAGGAAATTGAGGGAAAACTATTTTCTTTTCTTTTCCTTTCAAATTTCTTGAACCAAACATAGTGGTAGTAAAATTTCCCATTTTCGTTATCAACTATAGCATTAGATTATCTACCAAATATAACCATCCAATTATTCAGTCTTTTTGGCCCTGTGATATATATTAAAAAAATCGATCAAATGTTAAATCTAAGGGTAAAATAAAAACTTAGATATGTCGAGGCAATAATTCTCTTGTTTTTGAAATATGTATCCTCAAATCTCTTGTGTTTGAAAGAGAGAATGATAGGTTAATAAGATCTTAGGTTGAACTAATCAATGGGTTGGATTAAATCTCATAGACCAATTGTGTGACCTCAATCCAATCAAGAATTATATCATTCTCACGAGAATTCTAAGTAAGAAATTGGTTGGTTGTGTGAGGTTTACCTTAATACCAGCTTTTTTACATAAATCCACGGCATCTTTTACTCCTGGTCTGCAAGGATCCTACATTGTAAGATTGACAATTAGAGAGAGATAAAAACCAAAAAGGACCTATGAAAAATCTAACAATGATGAGAGAGATGTAGGAAAAACATTAGGGAGCTTAATGAAACCTTAAGTTGACAAAGATTGTTTGGACATTAAAAGGAGAGGGAGATAATGTGTACAGAAATGCAAACAGTTCCAAATACTCACTTCCGGAATAATAATGCATGTGTCAAACAATACCTTGAGCCCTAGGATAGTGAGTAAAATCAGGTTTTTGCTAACATCTTCCTCGTTGGTAGGCACTTTGCCAACACCATCATAAGAGTTGTAGGCAATGGCCACACAACGCAAACTCCTTTCAGCCATTTTGGTAATATCATCGTTGAAGAGATTCAGCTAACCACATATGCTTAAATGATTAGCAATAGAAAATTTTTACAAGAAAGCTAAAGATACAATTATACAGCTCCAGCATAAATTCTACTCCCTCCGTCCCTTTGGATTCTTTACAATTGTAATTTTTTGTTGTCCCATTGAATTTTTTATACTTCCAAATTTAGCATTACTAAGGTTATAAAAACTCTATTTTACCCTTCTATACATCTTGCACATCATCTCTAATATCTCACCTCCATTTCACCCACCTTATTTAAATAACTGCACAATCGGGATCAAATATGGAAAATAAACAATACTCTAACTTTGCGATATTTTCTCTCTCAAGAATCCAAAGGGAGGGAGGCAGTATTTCTAACCAGTGAGGACATTTAAAGCATAAATAGATTTGGAAGCATACATGAGTGCACAATTTAAATTTGAAACACAACAGAAAATTTCATTGTGCCTTAGCGTTCCATCATTTATGCTTAAACCACAAAAGTATACAGTAGATTTGAGGTCTGTATGACTAATTACTTTTGAGGTGTTAATATGAATGTGTTGTGGTTCAAAAAATGGTATACAGTAGATGTGCAATAATATCAAGGGTGAATGGGTAAATGAGCACCAAAAGAACAAAGAAAGAAAGAAAGGCAAAAAAGAATACAAGGACCCCGTATAGAGTAACTCCGTAGCAATGCAATATGCAACCAATTCACAAACCTCTTTTTCAGTCACATCCACCACATTGTTATTTGCATCAATACAACGGTTACAGCGGCTAAGTACAATCTCAGCAGCCCCTTTCCAGTGTGTGCGAACTTTAGAATCATGCTGCCAATAACCAAGAAAAAATTGACAACTAAATTGTATAAAGTGTTGTTGAATACATGTTTTGCAGATGTATTATATGAAGAGACTTGAGCATATGTGGATATTTGAATAGTTGCGTATCATACCATCACTATAGTCTAGGCATCTCCTTGTACATGGAATTTGTTCCATGCCAGATATATGAAATATATGGTTTATTCTTCAAAAGCATAGCATTCCGAAAGCATAAGAAAATTAGAAGGTAGAAGTAAATAAGGGGTGGTTTTGGTGGTTTGCTTCTGGTTAAAAAAAGGTGGTTTGGCTAAATTGCAATGGGTAAGTGAATTTAGAAGAAAAAACACAGAGAATGAGAGAAAATAGAAATATTATTAACCATCAGTGCCAAACATTCAACACAGTACACTTGATACAAATTATTTATCTAATCTTAAATTGTCTCCGAACTCTTCTAAATTCAAATTCAATCTTTTGTGTGGTTACATCACAATAACCAAGAACATTTATGAAAAGACAACTTCACAGAAAAAAACAACAAACCAAGTAAAATCCCACAAAATTAGGGTTTGGGGAGGGTTGAGTACGCAAACCTTACCCCTACTTGGCACTGTTGGCAGTAAAGAGGAAAAGGTAACTTTACAAGATTGAATAAAATAGAAAGCATCAATAAAAAATGGAGTAATGTCAAAGGAACCCCAAAGCTTACCCCCATGGGTTACATAATCCATGTGGAATTATCATTACAAAAGGTTACTTGATCATCAATCACTAATTTAAGGGTAAACCAATAATATGATAGTGTCTAACCCATGTGGTAAGCAATGATTCCCTTCTAGCAATTTTAAATAAATGTATAAGTAAATGGCTGAGGTTACCCTTTCTACTACAACACCACTTCGCTTTTTCTCTGAGTTGAATGGGAAAGCGCTGATAATTTGAGGTTTAGGTTGAATATCATCAGATTTCATTCCAAGCTACACAATAAATTATTCACATGTTAATATGCATGAATCTCCCATGTAGTTGAGATTTATGCAAAGGATATAGAAATAATGTAAACCACTCAATGTTTTCTTTGAGAGGAATGAAAAGTTTATTTTGGGACGGCCAGAAAAGAAAAGTGGAAAGTTTGTTTTGAGACAGAGAGTATCAACTAAAGCCAGGAAGAAAAGTAACCTTGACACCAAACTGGAGAATAGCCTTTTCTGTTGGTGATCCAGAGATCTCAGCTCCTTTACCATCCTGTCAAAGACAATTTCAAAAAAAAACAGCTGCAGTCACATGTTTTTTCCTTAAGGAAATGTTTAAAACTACTTCCCCCATCCGGAAATGTTCTTCCCACTTTCCTTTTTGGTCCGTCTGGAAATATCCTTCCCATTTTCTTTTTTAGTATACTTTTTGAAGATAAATTTCAATAATACCGTTCTATTTTATCACTAATCTACTTTTTTATTGCTTTTTTAATAAGAAAAGGAGATTTAGAAGTTTATAGTATGTGCATTTTTGGAAATTTGGCACTTTGTTTACTACTCAATAAACGTGCCAAGTCAACACAGGAATAGCATTCCCGGACGGAGGGAGTAATAAGAAAGCAAAACAGTATGCAAACGTGGTAGAAAGAACGTCACTGCAGTTGGATACTTTACCCCTATTCGAAAGTAGAGAGGAGTATTAAATTAAGTTATACAGTTTAATTGAATTCCCCCAAGTCTCTAAGGCTCTGTTTGGTTGGGAGGAAAAGGACGGGAGGGGATGGAGAGGCTTCCTTTAACCTTGTTTGGTTGGGGAGGGGAGGGAGGGGGAGACTCTTCAGATTCATCAGAACTTTAACTTTGGATAGTTACAGCTTTGCTCAGCTTCAGATTCAATTGATTCAACCCCAATTTTTCGATTGATCGATGATGGCAATTCCCACTCATCTGAACTTATTGTTTGAAACTGAAACTAAAGCCTTTTTTTGTAAGGGGAACAAAAGCGAAGAGAAAGAAGAAAAATATAAGACGAAGAAGAAAAAAGTAGGAATAAGTAGGATTGAAAAGGACGAAGAACAAATATGAAGAAAAAGAAAAATAAAAGAGGAAGAAAAAAGAAGACAAAGAAGAATAGAAGAGGAAAAGGTAGGAAGAAAAAGAAGAATAGAAGAGCTAAGAAATATAGATGCGAAGGGAGAGGGAGAGAAGAAACAGAGAAAGAGAAGATGAAGAAAGATAAATGGCAGATGCGAATGGAGAGAGACAGACTGGACACAAAAGGGTAAGGAGGAAGGAAACGAAAAGAGTGAAAGCCCCCAAATTGGAAGGATTGAAAACGAGGGGAGGGGAGGGAATGTAAGCTAAAAAATTAGGTTCCCTTCCCTCTAACATTTTAAAACCAAAGGGGAGGACCTTGATTTCCCTCCCTTCCTCTCTAAGATTTTTTATTGAATTGTCCAAGGGTTGACTTGACAGTATAGATCACACCCTCTGACCATTTCTCACTAGCCATTATTGACCAATTCAAATAGGAAGAATGCACTCATTGACCCATGCTTGGGTGATTATTGTGCACACATTTTCTTGAGTGCAAAATCTTCAAGGAGAAAGATGTTCCCAAGTTCGAGATTCATTCTCTTGTGAATATTGGTTCCCTAGGGGGGCAGGTCTTTAGTGCAAAACTTACAATGAGACTCCAGATAAATATAGTCAACAGTCAACTTGAAGAGTAATTTAAGCTTTAATTAATTGCCTACCTTAGGAAAAAAAACACTGCCAGTTGTATTCAGTAAAATTCCTTCAAGAAGAATAAGCTTGACATTATCAGATAGCTGCATCTGTGATTCAGCTTGCGCTACGTCAACTTTTTTACCACAGAAATGAGCCTCAACCACAGTCATCTGAAAAGAAGAATATGTTAAGCATAAGGGCTGAGAGTAAAATACTATTGCAAGTTCAAACCTTATAAAATGATGTTGCAGTGTTGAATGACTCAGGGCCCAATTCAGAAGTTATGAATGCAACCCCATCACCTAATGACCAATGAGCTAGCCCTGGGCCTCTAGGTGATGCATATATCAGGAATTGATATTCTCACCAAAGATGCAGGCAAGAGGGGTGCAACAGGGATGCTAGCAGCAGTGTGTGAAATTGTGAACACATGTATTTGTTTACCTTTCCTTACATTGGACTCTGTATTTACTTTATGCAAGTTTTATTATTTTATTTACCAATACTTTATTAATCAGTATCCTTTTCGGTTTAGGACTATAAGCTTCTATATAAGAAGGTAATTACCATTTACCATCTATTATGATTATTATGGAATAAAGAATTACGGAGCAAAAAGTATTCTTTCTTCATTCTCCTTTCCTGTTCAGCTCTCCTAGGGTTCCTACGTGCGTGAGCTTTATGTTTTTAACACCTAGGTCCGAGTTCTTCTTTGGTTGAACATAGGCCCATAACGAGAAGCATAAACATAAATCATAAAGGCCAGGTTCAAACCTCTAATTCCCTCAAAATTAAAATTCTACGCCTTACCACAAACAACAACACCAGACCAAGGAAAACCCCACATTGTGGAGTCTGGAGAGGGTGTGTATACGAAGACTTTACTCCTTCCTGAAAAGTAGAGAGGCTATTTCCAAGAGACTCTCGGCTCTAAACACAGGGTCACGACAACAACAAAAAAAGAGGCATGAGCATACTATGAAACACTACCAAAGCAAGCACGCATGCAAAACCTACAAAGTAAGGCTCAAATGACTACTCTACCACCCTGGTGTGACAACACAACGATCTAAACATCATCATCTTTACCACTCAAAGCCTCCGAACGTGAGTATTCTTCACCTCCCAGCACTCAGATACATACTACATAGCCGATATGACCACTGCCCAATAAAACTTCCCTTTCAGGTTTTGTTGATATCCTCTATCCACAAAGGATCCAAAAGAAAACTTCCACTTTGCCCAAGCGGCATCAATACAATGGACAACAACCTCATCTACCTCCCCATAAGCATGAATGATGGATCCAAGGTACAAAAACTTGTCCCTTTTAGGCACTAGATGCATATCAATCCTCACTTCCACTTTGACTCACTTGTCCTACCACTAAACATGCCACGCACTCGGTCTTAGTCCTGCTCAATCTAAAACCTTTTGATTCCAAGGTCCACCCAGTCATCAAGTTCAATGCGTGTCTCGTCAATCAGAACAGTGTCATCAGCAAACAATGTGCATCAAGGTACCATAGCAAACACGAAAAGACTAAGGGTAGGCCCTTGATGTAACCCATCTCCACCAGGAAGTGGTCAAAATAACCTCTTATTGACCTCACCCTAACAAAATGAGTGTAGGCAATTGGTATCAATGCACCTCCATAAGATCTCCCTACGGATCCTATCCTACGCCTTCTCCAAGTTAAGATACAATATGTGTAGGTCCTTCTCATTGTCACATCAGTCTACTCAAGAGCCGAGTAACCTCAGTTGTTAACCAGCCAAGGCATGAAACCAAATTGATTCTCGAAAATACTCATCTCCTTTCTCAACCTAGTCTCGATTAATCTTTTCTAAGACCTTCATAACGTGATTAAAGTTTGATGCCTATATAATTTTTGCAAGCCTGGATATCACCTTTGCCCTTATATAACGAGATCACCACACTCTCCCTCCACTCCCCAAGCATCTAAGCAATCCTGAAAATCACATTCAACAATTTGGTGATGCTCACTGACCCATCTCCGCCCACAATCTTCCAAAACCCCACGGGATTCTCATTTTGTCACATGGCTCTCCCCCCTCTCGTCTTACTAATGGCCATCACGGCCTCATTACCTTTTTATGTCTAATGCACCAACAATACCTAAAATCTTAAACTGCCCAGTTCACCTGTTTAGAAGACGCCCATCCCCTCGGACATTCAGAAGGTTAAGAAAGAATGACTGCCACCGGTTTCTAACCTCCACCACATCAAACAAAACCCTTCCATCCAATCCTTTAACACACCTTACATCCCGGCATCCCACAGATCTCGTGTCATTCCCTCTCACACCTTTGCAATTTGAAACAATCTCTTCTCTCATCCTCTCGCTTCTAAGTCTCAATACAGGCAATCAGACGCTACATTCTTAGGTGCCGAAACTGGAGCTTTCTTACGATCAATCTCATACTTTTCACGTAACGATCCCGTAACCTCCTCAACTCTACACTCCAACAAATATCCTCATCAACCTAAATGCCAACCTCATTCTTGTTCCTTGAAGCACTGCAGGACCACAACATAAACCTGTTCACATCATGCAGAATGCATGCAACATGAATCCTCCTCTTCTTAAAGTCCTTCACCAACTCTATAAACCTTCTCGTCAAGGGTCCTATATTCCACGACCCAACCCTTAAACTAGGAACTCCCCCCAACCCCAGTCTTTGGAGAGGCCCTTGCCTCCCTCGCCTAAGGCGACCGGGCGACCTTGCAGCGCCTCAATGGAATCTGGAAAGGTGACATCCATAAGGCACACCAAAGTCGTTCCCCTCTCTTGCCTCAACCGTTGCATAAGGCGATAGCTTTTTCTCGCCTTTTGAATATGGGCTTGTAAAAATGGGCTTACAGCGCGCGTCATTAAAGAAAATACACCTAGCTCGCATCGTCTCTTTTTTAACAATCTCGCATCGCCTCTCAGGCTTCTCAGCGACGTCATCCATTCGCAAAGCAGTAAATTAGGTTCTTTTTCCCATGGTTTTACGTATTCTGGGCACCCGGTGGCATGTGTTGTCGCATTGGAGGCACTAAAGATCTACAAGGAGAGAAATTTTGTTGATCAGGTTAACAGAATAGCTCCAAAATTCCAAGTAGGTATAAAAGCATTTTCCGACAGTCCTATCATAGGAGAGATTCGGGGACTTGGCTTGATCCTTGGGACAGAGTTTACAGACAAGAAGTCTCCCAATGAACCTTTCCCTCCTGAATGGGGTGTTGGCGCTTATTTTGGAGCTCAGTGTGAGAAACATGGGATGCTCGTCTGTGTAGACTTTGACCTCATAATGATGTCTCCTCCATTTATAATAACTCCTGAAGAAGTTGACAAGTTGATCAGCATCTATGGGAAAGCATTGAAGGACACTGAAAAGAGAGTTGAAGAACTCAAATCTCACAAGTGATGAAAAGTTGGCAGCAGATTCGGAGAGAGCACATTAAGGTTGGGATCAATTTTAACCGATGGACAAGGCAGATTTGGGGACATACTGCCTGCACAGGCTGCAGGGCTTCTTTCATCATTCACAGTGGCCAGATCAGATTCTTAAAGCGCATTTCACAAGCAGTAGTACATCATTGACCTGATCCTCGGAACTCTTCATGGGTCTGGAGAGTCTTCCCTTGGCATTTGTGACAAGTGCGAACCCATGAGCTTGTGTGTACTGTGTAGCTGCTAGGCGCTGCATTTACCGGACTTTTATAGAGAGCAACGTAGGGAATCAAAACAATTCTGGTAATGGCTTATATTCCTTATTTACTTTGTTGTTTGTGAAGATACAGACATTTCACTTAAAAGTGTATATACTCCATAGGGAACACATTCATAAGTACAACAGAGCCCCTTATACCTGACCAAGGATACGACCTTACATCACCATTATTAACTAAGGCCACCCAACTCGTTCAGTGGTTCACAGCCCACCACAAGAAGGGAGAACACAAAAAACCCACCTAGTACAAACCAAAGTCCAAGGGGAAGAACCAAAAGCACCTAAGATTACTAAAACACAAGACAAATACACACCAACGAAGGTTTTAGTATAAGATTAAGCAAAAAAAGTAAGGCAAGCAAGATAAATGAATCAATACACAAAAAAACAAATAGAGGCTAAGATGCTGGGTCAAGGGATACATAAGAATAAGAATGGCAATAATAAAATAACAATAGGCCAATAATAACAAGAATAAAGAAAACAACAATACTGATACCAAAAGTGAAGGGTTGGGCTATTGGTTGGGGGAAGTGGCTATAGGCAGGAGGCTACATGGTGGTCGTTGGACTGAGTTTAAGGATAGCTGGGACTGGTGTCGAAATTGGGTTGTGCAGCGAAATTTGGGGGGATAAGGGTTGAACGCTAGAAAGGGTTCCAGGATGGAGGGTTTGGGCTAATGGTAGTGTTAGGGCTGTGGGTCAAGGTTATGGTTAGAGAGGTAAGTCAATGGTCAAAAGTCAACGCTGGAGGGTAAAAGTGTTGGGATTCTGGGACGGGGGTATGGTTGATGATATAGAGGGTTTTGGGATGGAGGAAAAGGGCTTACGGCCGGGCTAGGGTTGAATGCATGGATTCTGAATGGGGAGTTAGATATGAGGTTGGGGCTAAAGTTCGCAGGTGCCGGATGGAAGAGGCTTATTAGGTCAGGGGAAGGGTGAGGGTTGGGGATGAGAGACTTAGCTGGAACTGGAAAAATCTATTGTTGACCGTCGACCTTCACTGCCGCCTCCTCCCTGCTGCTCATCACCTCTAGCGGCGGAAGAGAGAGCAACGGTCGGAAAAACTTTTGAAGAGAGGAGTATGACCATTCAGAAAAAGAGAGATATAGAGACAAAACTCAAGACACTCTAAGCAATATAAGTAAATCAAAGATTTAAATATGGAAAATTAAAGATGATAGAGCTGTTGACCTCATTCAAAGTTAAGGTTCCAGTTTTGTCACTGCAAATGGTTGTTGCAGAACCCATGGTTTCACAAGCAGAAAGTCTCCTAACCTGCGATCATAATTGTTTTTACATGAAACTAGAAAATACCAATATAAAATGTTGCGCATGAAAGAAAAGACTAGCAATAGTCTCCATACCAATGCCTTATCTGCCATCATTTTTTTCATTGAATAAGCAAGCCTGAAATACAATATTCAGAGAGAGCATTACAGTTTCGCAACTAACTAATATGTTCATAGCTATGTATAACGATCTAAAAAAGCTCACCGGGCCAGTTAGCATGGTAACCCGTAAAAATCCCTTAAATCAAAGGGAAACAATGCTAACCGAGCAAACACGGACCATAGTAGGACAGGTGAACCCGATATGAAAGGGACTTTTGTATTTAAGACTTAAGTCTCTTTGATCTAATAAAATTGCAACCCTAACTCCATAAAAGATCCAAAATTCTGTATGATATATTCATGCATCTCATGCTATAAAAATATTAAGGCAAAAAATATTCCAATGATGTGTAAACCAAGTCACCCTGAAAAGGATAAAAAACCTATATTTTGGAAAATTATGTTTTTTTCGACACTTGATAATTATTACCATTATTGGATTATGACTTATTATGGATAGTTTTTTCATTTAATTTGATATATACTTAAATGTATATTAATCTTTAGTTTTTTTGCCAATGTTGATTAGGCCTGCATTGACCAGATTGACATGTGTTCCAATCAGTTGGCTGGGTCTATTCCCTGTCCAGTTCTAACTTCTGTTATAACTTCTGACACCATAGTTGCATAGGATAAATAGTACTAGTATATTTCATGTAATGAAAAAGAAATGCAAAAAAAATCACAATGGGAAGCTGTCAGATGTTTAAATGAGGACACAAGCGTTAAAAGTTAAAACAATAATAATAATAATAAATAGTAATAATAAAAATAATCATCTAATGTCCGGCTTTTAAAACAGCTGAAACGTGATAATGGATTATTTCTTAATTGAAATTTACTCCTTCCGACCCCAAATTAAAGTCATAGTTTGACTTTGCAAAATTTAATAAAAGTGTTGAAAAGTAAAAAGTGTGGTAGAACTTTGTTTGGAAGAGAGAAACAATGTTGTGAGCACATATTCTTTTCCTTAAAAGGAAAGGGGAGAAGAGTGGAGTTCATTTAGGGATGGGCGAAGAAGGAAAGTGTGAATGTAATTAGGCGAGAGAGGAGTATTAGGTGGTGTTTGGCCTAACGGTTCTGTCTGCATTTGTGGCCAAGGCTTCAAAATGAAACACAACAGCTCCTATTTGGAGCTTTTGAAATTTACTTTAGCAATATGCTTTCTTTCTCATATTCTCCTTCACCTATTTTTAAAAATACCTACTTCTTTTCTTTCTCAAATACTCTAATAGTTTTAACAATACGCATTTTACATCACAACAGTAATAGTTCAAACAAACATTCAAAAATCAAAATTTCTCAACAAATGTACTAACAACAACTGCAAACAACTCAAACAAACAGGCCCTTAATCATTTCAAAAGGAGTTAATGAGCATATCATTAACTTAACTGTAATAGAACGGGTAAAACGATAGAGGCTTATCATTTGGGTGAACTTACGTCAGAGTCACAGCTAAGGGAAGGCCTTCCGGCACAGCCACGACGACAATGGTAACCTGGAGGATTATGTTTTTCATGTGAGTAAGAAGTTTAAGTCAATCATACTGAAAAGAAAGTGTACATCCAAACCTACAGCAACAGTAAAGATTTTTATAGCACCGTCTACAGCAGCACCAACTCTAGTTTTCCCAGCTTTAAATTGTACCGTACCATCAGGATTTTTTGAGTTACCAGTGAAAAATCTAGCAATACATGCACAAAGTCATGAGTACAGGAACACGAATTGGAACACTAATGCCATAAACCTATGAAAAATCTATGCATTACAAGCGCAAAGACATGAGTATTGGAACACTAATGCAACCATGAGTGGGTTCAACTGCATTCAAAAATACCTGATCATAAGAACAACCAAAACAAGTATAGCTATCCCAACACCAATGATACCAATAAATGTTGTAACTCCATTTAAACGTACCTGACACGATACACAAAATTTTGGAAGCTAATATATGAAGCATCAAACATTATTAGAATCTATAGACTTAAGAGTTGACGGTGCAACTCCATCCTACCTGTAGAGGTGTTTCTTCCCCATTGTCTTCTGAAATGCTAGCCATCAGCTGTCCCCATTCTGTGTCCATCCCAACATTTGTTACCTGTAAGAAAGATATATAAATTAGAAACTTTTACCAGCTAAGGGTCATAAGTTTTTGAAAATGATCATAACGTGTTATATGTAGGAGTACAAACTCTGTATTAAATAAATTTGCAATAGAATTTTGTCATGTTCTATGATTTACAATACCAATTTTATAGCACACATGTGGACGAGGCATGACTAAAACAGCTATATGAAATCATCATTGCAAAATGATTATTGCATCGTGGTTCGGGAAATTTTTTACTCGTGTGCCGATATAATCAAATATATGTAGCTAAGATGACAGATAATAGAATTTGTAGATGTGTAACAGAAGATTTCCCTATCACAATTGAGCTGCATAAAAGGTCAGCACTGAATTCATGTTTGCGACTGTGATGGATGAGTTAACTAGGAATATCCAAGATGTGCAACGGATGATAGACTAAACACTAAGCTTGAAGTATGGACACAAGTTAGAATCAAGAGAATTTAAGGAAAGTCAGTAAGCAATAATTTCAAATAGTTAGGATCTATCATGCAGGGAAATAGATATATTGACAAGAATGTGACACATAGGAATATTGCATGTTGGCTGAAATGGAAGAGTACGAGAGGAATATCAGTGACTTTAATGTACCCTTAAAATTTCAAGGAAATTTTTACGGAGTATAAGGCTGCTATACAAATGGCTTCAATGTATCACCTTTATTTATATGTAAAGGGTATAATTCTAAAGGACGTAAAGTTTTTGTCCAACTTTTACTTTTAACCTACTTTCTTGGTATGTGGGAAGTAGGTAAAATCCCTTATATAAGGGATTTGAAGGAGAATTGGTTTAGGCCATCAATCCATAATGCAATGAGTCTTGCATGTCATAGTATAGTCACATATGACTATGGTTATTACAAATTAGGTCTCTCAAAGTATCAAATATTCATATTCCATTTGCAAGAACAAATTAATATCTAAAGGTATATTGTCAAGTGGGAGTGAGGTTATACATGTAATGAATTATTGAATAATAACCTTTAAGTTCTTTTTCTTTACCAAACTTTTATATAGTGTTGAGTGAGCTCATCATGTAGAATTAAGTACAAGCAAAGGTCTCAACACGCAACAGTAGTTAAGCTATGCATACTAGACAGTACAACAGAATACATAATTGAAGAAACATCATATTACAACAACAACCCAGTTGAATCCCACGCAAGTAGGGTATGGGGAGGGTATGTGTATGAAGACCTTAAAACCAAAGATCCCCCGGCTCAAGCACCACAGGTAATCACATATGAATCCTAACCCCTAAAACATAGAGAAACTATTTCTGGATGACCCATGATGAGTGCTGAAAGTTGCATTGACTAACTGCTACTTCACTATTAAAAGAAGCGCAGATAGATTAAAGAGCCATTTTGCTTTATTCAATCATGCCCCAAAGCCAAAAAATGAAGAAATATCAAATTAATGCTCCAAAAAGTTAGTAAACCATCGAAACTAGATACCACAATTAGAACAAAATATATCAGACAAAATTATTATGCACGTTGACCAAGTTCAAAGCAGTTTCCTGCCTCAAAATATCTCTTCTTTCAGCATGCCTAATGCGCTTAAAGATCACCAAACATTTGAATGAATGAGACATTATGTTGTTAAAAACAAATTACCAGCATGGTGCCGAAGCCGTCTGCTACTTTACATCCAGACAATAAAAATGGATGTTTTGAATCTTTATTTATCTAGCATAAAAAATGAATTCCCAGTAAACAAGTAGCTAAATAAGAGATGATAAATGAAAGGTCTTCCAACATAACTTCCACAAATACTCACAAGGGTGCTTTCCCCAGTCATGCTAGATTCATCGAGCTTAAGAGAGTGTCCAGAAATTAGAATTCCATCCGCAGGTACCTGAAATAAATAAAGTTAACATGGGAGTGCATAAATGTAGATAAGATCCGGGAGTCCAACTGTCTTAAAAAGAAGGAAAGGATTCCATTCACCTGATTGCCAATGCCTAGATGTACAACATCACCAACAACAATCTCAAATATTGAGATTGAAACTCTTTGCCCATTTCGAATCACCTGCACATTTCGTACAGAATGTAAGGAGGACAACAAAAAAACATGGCAAAATGTAAGAGGCACCTGTGCTTTTATATTTTTCTTCTCTTTATTCAGACTTTGGAACTGAAGGGACTGCTTGTAATCACTAACAGCTGCAGAAAAAACATGAGTCACCAAAAATATTGATGATGGAGATGGCATAATTGTCATCATAAGCATTGCAAAAAAAATCTGACATTGTCATTTTTTATCAAAACATTGAAAAGGAAAAATTCCTTGGTAAAGTAAGGGAATGGAACATTACAAACTAATTTGGTTTGTGTTACCTATATGAGAAAATAATTGATAGCCCCAACTCTTACAAAAGGGTGCTATAACTATTGGGGACACACAAGGTCTAGGGATTGACAAACGAATGAACTGTGATGAGCTGGATAGGTCAGACCTATATTCTAATCCACCAGGTACTATAATTGAAGAGAGATTCACTTAAAATGAAGTTCATCCAGACCATCATTGTAATTGTGCGGCTATAGTTGATTGCATGCTGTGTTAAATTGCAAGCAAATATAGGTGATAAGTTTTCACCAATTACATACACAATTCTTTGTGGCTGCTTTGGTTATGATTTTTATTATTGCTATGCACTTGCCTTTTGCTCCCTATTCGTACAGCCAAACATACTATCAGAACAATGCGCTTAAATTTCTCGGTTGCTGAAACTAATTTCACTGCTAAAAAATTTTCACGAAATGAGCTGATCATTTATTAATAAGTGGTAATAAAGTTGAGGGAAATTCATGCAAAGCCGACTGAAACATAAGGCCTGTACAAAAAGTCATGTTTAAACTGTTAATATATATGTTTAATAGCTCATGTAGGATACTCATGTAAGAAACACTAAGTCAATAACTGCACCTATCTCAGATTCTCAGTGGTCCAATACAAAGGACCTTGTGAAACGTAATTTGAAAACAGAACAAAAGAAGCTCACTTAAAACTGATGCCCTTTGAAACTTCAGAAAGATAAGTTTTGCCATTAAAGAACTTGGTTGGTTTATGTCACTGAGATAATGGCATAGAGTGTACAAAGCTAAAACAAAATAGGTAAAGAGTGTTCTAAGAAAGCAAATGAAATAATTGTAATTGCCCACGAGGTCAACGTCAATATAGCAAAGAAAAAAGAGGAAAGGATTTAATTGAAGCTTATACCTGTTACAAGTATGATGATGATGACAGCTATAGCAATGCTTCCTCCATCATACCATCCTTCTTTCAGACCCTTAAACACATTAGTATTCAATACATTACTACTTTCATCCCAAAAAATATCATGCTGCATTTATCCAAGGTACAATTTTCTATTTTGATTAATTACAAATCTTATAACTCATTCGTCTTAGTTACAACAACAAACCTAGCATAATCCCACATTCCCAACTATAATGGGGTCTTTGTGGGTCAAGATGTACGCAACCTTACCCCTGGAAATCAAAGAGGTTGTTTCCGTTCCCTTGGTGCATTGATGCATTTACTTCCTAAAACTTCATAGACAGTAAAAAGCAAGGGAAATTTAATGTGCCAATTTGATTTTGTCCATTATTTGTGCAAAGCTAAAACATTGTCAAAAATGACTATTTTAGCTCATTCATCTTATTAATCTCGGTATCTCCTAAATTTTTTTGTAATTTTAACTAAATTTAAACTCCGTAATATTTTACTTGTTTGGGTCTGTTTTTGGAAAATTATACCACCCCTCAGTGCCTAAATAAAGTTCCTATTTTGGTCTAGGATGTTTGACTAAATTTATTTTGAATTCAGTTTGATTAATATTGATGTACGATTTGAAATTAAAATTTCAATAATTAAAAACTACAGCAGAATTACTAAAAGAGTAGGTGACATGACTATTTTATTGTGACAAATGACAAGAGAAAATAAGTAAAGTATGAATAGTGAAAATGAAGTTTATTTAGGGGAGGAGGGTGTTACAAACAACAAACTACCTGGTGGGGTCCCACAAGTGAAATTGGCGGGTAGGTACGACGTTTTTGAAATTAGGCGAGGTAGGGAGGATGTTTTTGGAATTAGAATTACAATTCCTTGCAAAAACAGAACCCCACGAAGGGATTGCACAATATTGGCACTCAATAAAAAGTGTAACAGTTCACAAACACTTACGATAAAGTCCTTTAAAACTCACCTCTGACTTAATCCCTAGAGCCAAAGAAGCAGCTGCAGCTACCATCAAAATGACCAAGGTCCTGTCCCGGCAAGCATCCCAAACAAATGTCTACAATAGCGGGAGTAAAAAAAGAAAATAAATGTATAGTGATACTGTGAAAGTACATTTGCTTCAACCCACAATATAAACCTGTTGCTGATGGTATCTTTTCATCAAACTGCATTTTAAAAATTATGCTTAACATCCTATTTGGCCATTGAATTCAGCAACTCGTGTTCAGATTGACCATCAAACTTTATAACCGTTCATATTACCTCTGTCCCAATGGAGAAATTCTTTCATGGACCTAAGGTCCATGTGGACCTTCTAATATAAATTTTTATTATTGAAAATAAAAAATTAATTTTTTTTATCTGAGTAGTAAGAAAATCCTTATTTGGCTTATATGAAGATCCACTCTCATGCAAGAATCTGTCCTCCACATAAATATAGGTGAACATTTCACTGTTTCTATCTGGCATAATAAATTTGAAAATTTAGGCAAATCTAATGAAACAATGTTAGTATTACGGAGTATTATGCAACGCATTTAATGGTCAATACTTGAGAAATTTGATTGAAAAAAAACCAAGCTACACTTGAAGGTATTATTAATTCATTGTGATGGTCTGATGTACCGCATATATTCTCTGTTCCCTCCTAAAACCCTAATCCACCAGCCCGCCGCCGGGAAACCCCGCTCCGACCATCAAAATGCAACCACCAATAGACCAAGCGGTGTCGCCCTCTTCGTACATCCAAATTGAACTCCGGCGGTGACTCGAAATCCGGGAATGCCATATCTGAGAGCTTTGGATCGATGGAGGAATGGAGGTGGGGTTAAGCGGAAAACGACCATGGAAGCGTAACGGTAGGAAGGTGATAAAAAAACTCGACACTCTGGTTTTAGATTTTAGACTCTAATCGGGAGGTTTCTAACTCTAGTCACCTTATTTCAAATACGGAGTACTCTTTTTTATTCTTTGAGTTTGGCCTTTTCAAAGTTAAATACTTAAATTTTAAGAAATGAAAATTTCGAAGTTCTAAATAATTTTTATATTAATATACATTATAATTTTTATTTAATTGATTTTTAAAATTTATCCAATTTGTCTCGAAAAAAATTAAAAATCCACCACAAATCCCACAATATATCATTGTCGTCCACCCACGCAGATCCACCACTACCCCGCCATCATTTCTCCTTCCTCAATATATCATGGTTACCACATGCAGATTCATCATGCCACAACGAATCACAATGTCATCCCAGCAAATCCGACATGACATCAATAAATTTTGACAGGGAAATTGAAGATCTAAAATATAGAGGACTTTTAGCATTGTATATTGGCAAGCCATAGAATATTTTGGCATTTCAATCTTTTGACATTATGAGTTGGCATGCATGGCTACGCGTGGCATCATACATTAACATGTTTATCATTATACATTTCCATGTGTGCCATTATTCGTTGTATGTTTGACATCATCCCCTGGCATGTATTGCATTGTAAATATAGTTAATGTAGCATGGTAGATTGTAATGGTAGCGTCCTTGCGGTCTCGACGGTGAAGATGGTAGATCGATGTGGTCGCAACATGAGATCACAACAGTGATGGCGGCAATGGCGACAACAACAAGCTAAGGGCGGTAGTTTTTAGGATTATAATTTATTTTTTGTAAATGAATTTAAATGTATTTTATAATAAAGAATATTTGTCACAAACTTCAAATTTTAGTTAAAAACTAAAGCATAAAATGGAAGCAAATGCTCACCCAAAAACCGGGACCCTTCTTCTCAGGATATGTGTTGGGTCCATATTGGCGCTTTTGCTCATCCACTTGATCATCGTTTATTCCTTTTTCCAGATCTGATTTCAACTGCTTTGCCACACCTTCTACCTATTGAATCCAAAACCACCGCATATAATGAACGGAAATTGGTAGGTAATGCTCTGTCTCGATTTAGTTATCAACTTTTTAAGAAATCTTAATTTTATAAAATAAATTTCAAATTCAAAATTAACCCGCCGAATGAATTTAATCTTTCACTATGGATGATGATGATGATGATAATCAAATAATAATAGTAGTAATAATAGATTATGGTTCTCGTGAGAATGCAATCTTATAAAAGAAATAAGAATGAATCTGATGATTTAGATTGTGAGATCTAAGGGTCGGAATTGCATCAAAATTAGGTGTACCAAAATGGTTTAAAAATGCGTTATGTCGAAATGCACCAAAATCCTTTAAAAATGCACTATCTCAAAATCTGAGCGTCAGATCCAAAGGCTAGATTTTATTCTTATATCTTTTACCAAGGTGCTGAACCGGCCCCAGCAATAATATAATAATAGTAATACGGCGGGGATCTTTTGACCTTGGAACTCCGTTCGTAAAATTGATGGTTACTACCCCTCCTAACCCCGTACCTGCCCACCCCACCTCCCTGCCCCCTCCCCCATTTGCCGATTGGCAGGGGGTGTTGGAGTGGGGGGTGGCGGGGCATGAGATAGGGTTTAGGGGTAGATAGGAACTATCAATTTTTCGGGCGAGGTACCGTAGGGGCCTCGGGTCATAAACCTAAGATCAAAAGAACCGTTTCGATAGTAATAATATAATAATAGTAATAATAATAGTAATAATAGAAAAACTTGCCCCGCCATGTTGGTGAAGAATAGAAAGAGCAAGTTCGGAAGATTGCATTCCAGCAAGCTTTGCAACTTCAAGTTTAGTAGTGACCGCTGGAGTTTCATCTCCCGCCAATTCTTCTCCGGGCAATTCTGCAAGTTGATGGCCAATAAGTACTACGTACTTGTACTTTTTTTTATGCTTTTGTAGATAGATAGATAATCACTCTGTCCCGTTTTTTTTTTACATTTAAAAGAAGTATATTCTTTTACTTTTAGTTAAAAATTAAAAAAGTACTAGTATGTTTTTTTTTCAAAGACAACCTTAGGGTCCATTTGGAAAGGGAAAAAATGATTTTTGGAAACTTTCTTTAAGGTTTCTCGGTGTTTGGCTACTGAATGAAATTCAAAAGACCAAAAAGAAATTAGTGTTGCAAGAGAACGGCAAAGGAAAATTCAAATTGCCCTTTGCGAACTGCCCTTTGAGGCCAACCGGAAAAGTAAGGCCCCGTTTGGTATACGGAATTCTAACTATGGAATTGGAATTAAGGACTTCAATTCCAATTCTGGTGTTTGGTAGCACAAAAATTATGTGGACTTGGAATTGATAGTGCTAGAAATGAATTGGAATTGGCAAAATTCAATTCTATGGAATTGAATCACATTGAATTTCAATTCCAATTCAAATCTAATTCCATCAATTCCGTATACCAAATGGACCCTAAGTTGAGAAAATTCCAATCCGTTTTTGAAGACGGAGATGAGGAAATTGAGGAATGAAAATCCGACGGCGTCAACGACTATGTCAGGGAATCCGAAAACGGAAATCGTGCGATGAGGGGGCAACGACTGTCTAATGGCTATGGGGCAGCATTTGCAATCCATTGTTGAAGACGAAGATGCTAGAAAATGACTTCCAGATAAAAAATGGGGAAGTCAAATTCCGTATTTGAGACCTCATTTTCCATTAACTTTGCTCTCGAACACTAGAAAATGGAAAAAATTACTACTGGATACCCTAGATTTTGTGATAAGAACTGTCAGGTCCCAATATTTTTTAAAATGTACTCTTGGGTACCTTAAAATAACAAAAAACGTACTCCGAGGTGACATTCCGTCACTTTCTCCGTTAAACTCCATTCTCCGTTAACTTCTTCTTCTTCTCCATTTTCGATTTTCTTCTTCTTCTTCTTTTCTTCTTCTTCTTCTTTTTCTTCTTCTTCTTCTTTTTCTTCTTCTTCTTCTACGCCTACGAATCTTCTTCTTCTTCCCATCCTCCCATTTTTTCTTCTTTTTTTTTGAATTCTTTTTCTTCTTACCCATTATTATTATTATTATTATTATTATTATTATTATTATTATTATTAAAATTAATTTATATTTTTACCACTCTAATCTTTAAGAAAAATAGTGGAGTAGCACTTATTATTATAACTTCATATTTATTATTATTTTGTCCTTATTCTATAATTATTATTAATTACTCCGTATTATTTTTGTTCATAATTGTTAATAATATTATTAAAAATAATTATTAGTTTTACTACTCTTTTTTAACAAAAATAACATTGATTTTTATTTAGAAAAATATAACTTATTATAAAAACGCTTATAATTATTAATAGTATTATTTATTAAAAGCAATTATTTAGTAATTTTTCTACTATACTTTTTTTATAAAAATAATAGTACTTATTATTATTACTTTGTATTAATTATTATTTACTTCTTATTATTTTACTTTTCTGCTATTGTTTTAATATATAATTATTATTAAAAATTAATGAGTAGTTTTATCACTCTCTTTTTAATAAAAATAACACTTATTATTATTTATAAAAACAACACTTATTATTTAAAATAAAACTTAATATTATCGATGTTGTTTTTTGCATTAGTCACGCAGTAGTCATCGATGGCTGCCATTATGAACTGTGACGTAGTATAATTTATATCCAAGTGAATAAAAAATCTTAATTTTATAAACTATACATAAATATATCATACTAAAATTAATTTTTAATTAAAGCTTATAAATATTTTAACCTACTTTTACGGAAGTGAAAAATTAGAAATTGAAAAAGGTCAATGAGGGCATACAAAGTAAAAAACATAGAAGAAAAAAATTATAAGAAGTATATAGTAATTATTACAGTTATTTTTCTAAAAAAAGAATAGTAAAACAAATAATTTATTTTTAATAATAATTGTAATAATTATTAATGAAAATAATACAGAGTAATTAATAATATTAATAAATATAATAGAATAAGAAGAAAATAATAATAAATATGAAGTAAAAAGAATAAAAATGGTAAAACTTCTAATTAATTTCTTATAATAATAATAATAGGTAAGAAGAAAAAAGAGTTCAAAAAGAAAAAAAAGAAGAAAAAATGGGAGGATGGGAAGAAGAAGAAGATCAGTAGACGGAGGAGGGACGACTGGAAAAGGTGGAGGAGGAAAAGAAGAAGAAGAAGAAGAAAAAGAAGAAGAAGAAGAAAAAGAAAATGGAGAAGAAGAAGAAGAAAAGTTAACGGACAATGGAGTTTAACGGAGAAAGTAACGGAATGTCACCTCGGAGTAAGTTTTTTGTTATTTTAAGGTACCCCGGAATACATTTTAAAAAATAATGGGACCTAGCAGTTCTTATCACAAAATCTAGGATACCCAGGAGTAATTTTTTCCTAGAAAATGTGGAAAATGACTTACGGAAGTCATTTTCCTCCTTTCCAAATGGACCCTTAAAGAAAAAGTGTATTGATTAATTTCTGGCATGCAGTGAGTAAAAAAATAGGTAGAATTGTTTTGTAATTTTTCTCAAAAGGAAATCTAATTAAAATAATCATTTTTAGTCTTTTTGTCCCTAAATAATCTTCTATCGTCAATTTTTACAATTTAAAGAAAAATGTTGAAAAGTAAAAAATGAGCTGCAAGAATCGATGAGAACGAAACTTTTTTAGTTACATACCCCTCCGTCCTAAAATTAACTTCCCAGTTTGACTTTTGCAGTCAAACATTTTAAACTTTGACCGTAGATTAAGGAAAAAATATATTGAATTTTCATATAAGTTTGTTAGCAATAGATTCATTTTGGAATATAGTTTTGAAATATATAATTTTTATAAAATATATTTATATAAAACTTGAGATATTGATGGTCAAAGTCTCGCATTGGAGACCGTGAAAAGTCAAATGAAAAGTTAATTTTAGGACGGAGGCAGTATTTTTCTCTTAAAAGAAAAGTGAATGTCCCAGAGAAAAATGAGCGAAAAGAAAAACTAGTAGACAAATAATTTAGGAAGGAAAGAGTAATATTGGCCTTGTTTGGGAACATCGTTTTCGATTAGCATTAGTGTTTTGGATAAAATTTTAATGGTAAAGATTAATTTTGAAAACGTTAACGCTAAAAGCTACCCTCAGATAACATTTTCAAAACGCTAACGCTAATGCCAAATGGTGTCATTACCTCGCCGGCCACTCAAAGGAGTCAAAGCTCGTGGTATTGTATCCTGCATACATAGCAACGAGAAGCAATAATGTGAGAATGTGAGAAATACTCTATACCGACCGTAGTTGAACTAAGCAATCGATTGTATTGAATCTTTTAATGTGGTTTAACTCAAATGTCTTATGGCCCAATCTAGTTATCCCTACCCCATTCTAATTTCTATCATGGTATCAGAGCCTATTTTAACCCGCCTCATTTGTGACGTTGTCCATCTAGAAGTTCATTTCTAGCGGCCCATTTGTCTTTAGCCTAGTTGTCGTATGGAAAACGACATGTGGGCCCATATAACCTGATTACTCATCTGGAAGTCCATGTCCAACGATTCGTGGTCCTTTAGGTATTGAAACTTTTGTTCCTTTCATTTCCTTGGGAGGGAGAGTCCATTTGCAAGTGGTCAACCGATTGATCCAAGGTGGCTCGGTTGTCCACTTGAAGGGGAGTGTTAAAATGTATCTCACATCGGGACTTGAAGAGAAAATAAATCGGTATATAAGTTGTTGAGTTGAACTAAGTAATCAATTGGATTCAATCTTTTTAATGTGATTCAACTCAAATATCTTATGACTCAATCCAATTATCCCTACCACATTCTAAATTCTATCAAGTGATTCATATATTAAAATAAAATCTTTAATATTTTTCTACAAAAATAATTTACAATATTCAATAATGTCAAACCATAATACATACACAACATTAAAAAAACATTATGAAATGTCAACACACAAATGTCAAAGTGCAAGTGTTCACGCTACCAACACTCTTATATTGATATATACCCAGAGTAAGTTTCACTCTTTAGGGCTTATTTTTTGTGATGGGAAAAGTTAATTTCAAGTTTCTTTTAACTCCTTTCAGAATCTTCAAATTCCTTCTAGTTTCTTTTAATAACGACTTTAAAAAAGTATTTATAATCAAAACGTGCTACGATGCCCACAATTCCCGTCCCAAAGTAGGACAATACATATGATTGTAAACCTGCAGAGACGATAATCATATGACGATAATCATATGTGAACAATATAAACAATTATCGTCTGTACTCATTTTTGCATGTATGAAATCATCTGTATTATCATGCGTTGGGCAGGGATTATGGGTTTCTAGCATTATTCTTTATATATATAATATGTATCCAAATTTATAATTTACCACCTAAAATACAAAGAATGATGATTTTTTAATCCAAAAATAGAGGTTTTTTCATATTTATTTTGGCGATCATTTAATTGATAGAGTTTGTTTAACAAGTTAATTCTTCTAACATTTTTAACTCTTTTCAGTTTCTTCCAACATTCAAATTTAGAATTTCGACCAAAAAGAACAGTCATTATTACTCATTTAAAATCTTAAATTCAACACTTTTTCTCAATCAAACTGAGAATAATACATACACAAATAATGTACTCGGTATAAATGGGCAATAATTCGAGAAATAAATAAAAGTTAAGATTTGGGTTTAAATGCCTACCGGCGGAATATCGGATTGTGATCTGATCTTCGTGAGCAGCTTCAGTCGTTGCTCTTCTTTTTTCAAGTCCAGAGTATAGCGAAATCTACGAGACGCGTTCAACACGAGTGCTACTTTCTAGAAGATTATCCAAATAAACCCGAAATAAAATGTTGTATATTTGGTAATTAGTCACTTGTTTCGAGGATTCTAAATTTCTATTAAAATAAAATTTCATGTGTAGTGCTCGAAATGATCATGTTAGAAATTGAAAAAATTTCTATGCTTACAACCACAATTTTGGATTTTTAAATACACACATAGTAAACTTCATTTTAAAATTACATACTATTCCGTATAATTTAAAGAAATATTTAAACTAAATAGTACTAAAACTTAAGTCATTTCCCTAAATAACACTTAATAATATCCAGAAGGATAAATAATGTCTAGTAATGACGAACATTTACTTGAAAAATAATTTACTTGAATAATAACTAAAAGTGCTATATCGGTAAAAAACGCATATAATGCTATTTAGGAAAAGTCATTATGTTTTAGTGATATTTAAATAAATTCTCCTAATTTAAATAGATTGAATATAAAAGAAATTCAATAAATTAGGTTTTATTTGGTACACAGAATTAAAAATATGAAAATGGAGACAATAATTTCAATTTTGCGATTTGGTAGAAAAAATGAAGATTTGAAATTGATAGTGCCAAAAATAAATTGGAATTGGACAATTCAATTAATTTCATTTAGATTTATTTCAACTCTCAATTCATTTTTAATTGTGTCAATTCTATATACCAAACGGGACCTTTTATTAGAGGAAGTATATAAGATTTGTAAAATGGGAATAAGAAAAAGTGAGACTGACCCTCCATCGTTTCAACGCCTCGGCAGGGGCTCGCTTGATGGATTCGATATCAAACGGATCTCCGCCCGCGCTGCCGTCACTGCGGCTGCGCTGAGGGATTCCGGCCTCCAGATCGCGGTGGTTCCCGCCGTTGCTCGCCATATCCTCCGCCGCGGCCTGCGCAATTAATTAATTACTGATCCCTATATTGGTGCTCCCTGTGTACTGTTAAATAATATACGTAAGGAGTAAGAAGAAGAATATAATTGAGAAGAAGAAGAGGGTGAGAATAAAGTTGGAAAAGGGGGAAATGAAATTTAAAGTATTACTGGGTAATTAATTGATTTAGTTAAAGATAATTAGATATGGAAGATATTGAAGCAATTAAAGGGATATATATTTGAGTGTGGCTTCGCTTTAATTTGCTTGAACAGAGAGAAAGGGATCGGATCAACGGCTCGTTAACTTCTCTTTTCTTCTTTTTTTCTTTTTTCTTTTTTTTTCGTTCAAACTTCAGACAATTATCGTTGCGGCGCACTAAAATAACGTGGTAGTTGCATATGCATGCCAGATAGATGAACTGCTGGCGCCTTTTTTTCAAGTGAAATTTGCACTAAATAGGACTAAAACATAAGTCATTTCTTAATATAGAACTTAAACTTTTTTATTCCTTAAATAAAATTTTATAATATCTTGTAAGAGAAATATTGTCCAATAATGATGGACATTTACTTAAATAATGATTAATTGATAATAACTAAAGGTCCTACACTGAGAAATAAAAACATATGGTTTTATATCAGAAAAATAATTATGTTTTAGTCATATTTAAGTAAATTTCTCTTTTTTCAATTTTAATTACTCTGTATAGAACTAGTATCACACTCGTGCGTCATACGCTTCGTATTTATGATATGAAATACTCCCTCCATCCCAAAATATTTGCCACCGTTGATTTTTTAGCAGTCGCGAGAACTTTTGTTTATTACTACATTTTCATTAGTTATTTGATAAAATAAAATATTCTTGACACCTCTTATTTCAAAGAACTTTTCATGTACTTTTTTTATAAGTAAAATTTATTTTTTATTTCTATACCAATATGTAAATAAAATGAATTGAAAAAACTTGATATTTTACCTCGGAAATACAAGTGTGACAAACATTTAGGGTGGGAGGGAGTATATTGGTATCATCTAGGCCTGGACACGGTACCGGTGCGGTACCGTCACCGGCGCCGGTACCGCCGGTACCGAGTACCGTAACCGTCACCGGAGACGAGCAACCGGTGCCTGGAACCGGTACCGGTACCGCCCCAACCGGTACCGTGTCCGGTTCCCAATTTTCGTCACCGGCACCGCCGATACCGGTGCCGGTTTTAATTTTTTTTTCTTTTTTTGCTCCTGCCAACGGACACCTGGTGCACTGCAAAACTGCAAAAAAAAAAGTTAGTGGGGGGGGGCCAGCCTCAACGGCTCTTGAGCCGTTAG